AAACATGCCTACTTGATATCTGTTTCAGCATGCTCCAGTTTTCACTAAGTCTGAGAACTGATTATGTTTTTGCCATGTTCAAATGCTTGCATTTGTATTTTCTGATCCCTTTTGGCTCAAGGTCACTAAGGGACTTTTGTTAAGCTCTTTGAGTAGCTCCATGTCATGCTTTACTTTGCCATGTTCAGGTCCTGTAGCATGTAGTTTTGTTGCTCCAAAGAGTGCTATCTGATCTGAGATTCCAGACAAGTGTTAATTTCACTAAGTCTGAAATCTGTTTACCATATGCATTTTTGCCATGCTTATTTGAACCTGTTAATGGATGAATTGGCCGTAGCTCAGTGCTAGACTTTTGTTAAGCATCTTGAATGGATTCCTGCCATGTATTTTGATGCCATGTTTGGGTGCTGTAGCATGTTCATCTCGTTGCATTTAGATGGCTACTTGTTGTAAATCGCAGAACGTGGTCATATTTGAATTGCTTGCCATTTCCAAATCGTAACTCCGATTCCGGTGATCTTTATATTGTTTTCAAGGGATTTCATCTCATCTTTCCAGTGGCACACTTGGAATTCCAAGTTGAGGCCAGGTTCATGCATCCCTTGTCAAATCTTGCATATGCATCCCGCATCGCATCCCGCATAGCATACCATCATTGCATCATATTGTTTGAGCTTTGCACGTGGTTGATTGTGTTCCGTTTGCTTGTTTGTCTTGTTTGGGTAGAGCCGGGAGACGAGTTCGCTAACGAGGAGCCCGTTGAGTTTGCTTTCGAGGATCCAGGCAACTCTGGCAACTTTGCAGGCAAGATGATCATACCCTCGAAATCACTACTATCTTTGCTTTGCTAGATGCTCGCTCTTTTGCTATGCCTATGCTACGATGTCTACCACTTGTTTTTCAAGCCTCCCAAATTGCCATGTCAAACCTCTAACCCACCATGTCCTAGCAAACCGTTGATTGGCTATGTTACCGCTTTGCTCAGCCCCTCTTATAGCGTTGCTAGTTGCAGGTGAAGATTGGAGACCGTTCCTTGTTGGAACATTATTTACTTGTTGGGATATCATTATATTATCTTGTTATCTTAATACATCTATATACTTGGTAAAGGGTGGAAGGCTCGGCCTCTCGCCTAGTGTTTTGTTCCACTCTTGCCGCCCTAGTTTCCGTCATATCGGTGTTATGTTCCCGGATTTTGCGTTCCTTACGCGGTTGGGTTATAATGGGAACCCCTTGATAGTTCGCCTTGATTAAAGCTTTTCCAGCAATGCCCAACCTTGGTTTTACCATTTGCCACCTAGCCTCTTTTTCCCTTGGGTTTCCGGAGCCCGAGGGTCATCTTATTTAAACCCCCCCCCCCGGGCCAATGCTCCTCTGAGTGTTGGTCCGAACCAGGCAGCCTGCGGGGCCACCTCGGGGAAACTCGAGGGCTGGTTTTACTCGTAGCTTGACCTATCTGAGTGTGCCCTGAGAACGAGATATGTGCAGCTCCTATCGGGATTTGTCGGCACATTCGGACGGTGTTGCTGGTCTTGTTTTAACCTGTCGAAGTGTCTTGAAGAACCAAGGTACCGAGTCTGATCGAAACATCTCGGGAGGTCTATTCCTTCGTTGACCGTGAGAGCTTGTCATGGGCTAAGTTGGGACTCCCCTGCAGGGATTTGAACTTTCGAAAGCCGTGCTCGCGGTTATGGGCAGATGGGAATTTGTTAATGTCCGGTTGTAGACAACTTGAATCTTAACTTAATTAAAATGAATCAACAGTGTGAGTTACCGTGATGGTCTCTTCTCGGCGGAGTCCGGGAAGTAAACACGGTGTTGGAGTAATGCTTGCCGCAGGTTGCCCTCTAGTTATCCGTTCGCGCTTTGCCTCCTCTCTCGCTCTTTTTTGCGAACAGGATAGCCACCATATATGCTAGTCGCTTGCTGCAGCTCCACATATTTACCTTACCTTAACTGCTAAGCTTAAATAGTCTTGATCGCGAGGGTGCGAGATTGCTGAGTCCCTGTGGCTCACAGATTACTATTACATCAGATGCAGGGCCTGATGATTCCGCTCCAGGTGACGCGCTCGAGCTCAAGTGGGAGTTTGACGAGGACTCTCAACGTTACTATATTTCCTTTCCTGATGATCAGTAGTGGTGCCCAGTTGGGGGTGATCGGGACCGTGTCGCATGTTGGGTTGTCTTTTATTTTGGCGCCGTAGTCAGGCCATGAGTGTTTGGATGATGTAATGCTATTTTATGTACTTGATTGACGTGGCGAGTGTAAGCCAACTATGTTATCTCCCCTTTTATTATCTATATTACATGGGATGTTGTGAAGATTGCCTAACTTGCGACATATGCCTTCAATGCGATTATGTCTCTAAGTCGTGCCTCGACACGTGGGAGCTATAGTCGCATCGAGGGTGTTACATCATGTTAGGCCATTTGCAATGCAAACAACTTAACCTCTACCTTTATTGTGTCCTCTCCTTTGGTGCTAGGTCTCATGGATGATAACACCTCCATCCTCAACAACTTCGACCCTCCTTTGGACAAGACAATGGCCATGGTGGAAGAAGATGCACCCCGCACATGGTTCCATCAAGATGATGACGTTGGCCACAAGATGGTCTTTTCCACCACACCTACTTCACATGAGTGGGACTCCCAAGGTAACAAAATAGGTGATGGTGATGTGCATGTCCCTCTAGTGGATATGGATTGCTTGCATGATACTGACGCTCCTATTACTATGTCACATGCTATTAGGCCTTCTACATGCTTTGATTTGACACCCGTCTATGATGTGTGTGATGATGAGTATGTTATGTTGAGTAGTTGTGATACCGTGCTACATAGGATATCTTGTCATAACTTCATATATCATATCATGTTCGATAACCCTCTTGCTTGGTCATATGCTATGAATGAGATATGAAAATTCAAATCTTTGCAATCTTATCATGGTGACTATGCCATCCCCATTAAATTCAACTTGAGTTATGAATATGGCAGAGATGACAAGCTTTTGCTCTATGGTATTTGCATATCTTGTGATGATATTGGCGTGCTCCCTTTGCATCATTTGAGCAATTCCCTTCATATGTCATGCCATGAACAACGTGCTTTGTACATGCATTGTTTAGATGTTGTTCAATTTCTCCTTGTATTCTTTCAAGTCTTTGTCTTGCTTGCAACCATGCTTATACTATTGCCCATGAGGACACCCCCATAGTTTCCTTGTTAGGTTGCTCTATCTTTTACTTTGCATGCTCCCATAATTGTGTGCGTAATATGTTTTACATTGATATGAATGCTATGCATATTAATATTGATGCATCATATACTTGTTACACCTTTTGTCCCCCATGTGTTGAGCATAACAAGTATCATTGCATCATGGATGACGTATTCTTGTATCGTGCATCAAATTTACTTGCATATCTTGTGCTAACTCCCACATGCACATACACATCATGATGGATGATGTGTACATATGCCACGTGCCCACATTCTTTCGTTTGTGTCTATGTTGTGTAGGTCATCATGCTTGCTTGTCAACTTCTAAACTCATGAGTTGACAAAACGAGCTCTGGAGAGCTCATTTGGAGTCCGGAGCCGTATACCGGCCTAGGGGTCCTGTGCCAACCTGATGGGCCGACTTTTGGTGGCTGAAGGCAACCCTGGGCCATGGCACCGTCACTGATGTCACACAATTTTATCGGACGGCTATCAATAATTGAGGTGAAATGGAAGCACACATGTGCGAGGAAATCTAGTAGGCTTTCATCACACACCACTGATAGATATACTGTGTAGTTTAATGGGCGTGGTCGGCATTTAAGAACATATTCAATAAAATATAGAGAACATGTTGATGTAGAAGTGCTTTGATACTCATATTTAAAATGTTTACAAAAAATTAATTTTTATCACCAAAAGGCCAAAATTGCTAACACGTCTTTTACAATGCAAGCAAGGACAAAAAAGGAGACATGTACTTACAAAAATATTATTTTCCATGAACACAATCATATATCTTAAGAGTCTCTCTAAATGTGGCGGGAAACAACAACAATTACTTCATCAAGTCATGCATTGTTCGCAACTCTAAGAGCGTCAATCCAGCTGGTATGGTTCACAACTCTAAGGGCGTCAATCCAGCAGGTATGGTTCGCAACTCTAAGGGCGTCAATCCAACTGGTAAGGTTCGCAACTCTAAGGGCGTCAATCCAGCTGGTAAGGTTAGCAACTCTTAAGGGCGTCAATCCAGCTGATATGGTTCGCAACTCTAAGGGCGTCAATCCAGCTGGTATGGTTCGCAACTCTAAGGGCGTCAATCCAGCCGGTATGGTTCGCAACTCTAAGGGCGTCAATCCAGCCGGTATGGTTCGCAACTCTAATACATCTTAAAGTAAACCATGTGGGACTAAACCCACCATTACAAAGCACAGCACACAGCAGGGTGTTATAATTATGGAGGATAATGGTTCAGGCCATCTCCAACGCGGCGCTACAAATGGGCGCTAGGGAATAAATTCCCAGCCGTTGCTCTCCAATCCCGGTCACATAGTTGGTGTTGAGTGCCTGATTTAGAGGCGACGCTTAGGTGGGCTTTTGGTTCAAATTAAATGGTCCAAGCACCCATGGATTTATTATGTGCGTTGGAGGCTGCGGCTCTTACGTGAGTGCTTCATCTTGGTATTTTTATATTTTCTTGTGCGACGTCTTACCGAGAGCATCTCCAACAGAAGAAGCTTATATGAGCACCTAAAAAAACAAGGGGGGCAGCCCAGTGCAATAGACCCAAGGCGGTCGGACCCTTCCCCGGACCCTGCACAAGCGGGAGCAACATGCACCGGGCTGCCTTTTTTTTAGGTGCTCATATAAGCTTCTACTGTTGGAGATGCCCTTAGTAAGACGTTGCACAAGAAAATAGAAAAATACCTTGTCGATAATTGTTAATGTTTTATCAATGTACTACATAAATCTTAAGAATAAGTAAGGGCCTACCTCTGAGCATGTCCGAGATTCATCAGCTTTTTCTTAACCTGCACAGCAATCTCTTTAGCCAAGCTAAACAATGCATTAACTTGTTTCTGACAAAAACTTGAACATACTGACACAGTATTAATGAGCCAAGTAAATAATGCAAGAAAAATATAGGCTTCGATGGGTATCACACCTAGTACCGTACACTAGTGCACCCACTGGTCCTTTGCGGTTGGACCAAGTGTTACATTTGTGCCTGCTATGGCATGTGTGGTTAGTTTGTAATACCACACCATTATAGTTTGTAAGTAGCATGTGTGGTTAGTTTGTAATGCCACACCATTATACTAGTTTGTAAGTAATTAAACCAATAATAATAACAATAATCATTTCCCATTATATATGTAGAAGTATCTGTATTACCAGCCATGCAGTACCCATGTTGCTGCAACATATCAACATATTACTGCATATTTCATGTAAGATCCCAATTTTAAAGAGAACTATAGCAAACGAATTCAGGAAAATTACATCTTAATACATACTTCAAACAACAGCAGCAAAGCCTTAGTCCCAAACAAGTTGGGGTAGGCTAGAGGTGAGATCCATAAGATCTCGCGACCAACTCATGGTTCTGGCACATGGATAGCAAGCTTCCACGCACCCCTGTACATGGCTAGTTCTTTGGTGATAAGTAAATTTAGATGCCCTGGAACCATTTATGAATACTATTCAGCATGCTTTACCTGGCAAGGTTGCAAAACATACCCAGCAGAAAGCAAAAAGAAATGATGGCATAAACATTCCAAGTTAATTGCTTCCGATCAGCATATGATTCAATAAATTAGAAAGTGTCTCAAAATAAAATGTGGTTGGATGAACATTTCATTGCAAACATGCCAGATTTCTAGGCTATGATATCTGCATTTGCATGTATCCACAGCCAGAAATGTGGAACCAAGCATACTTAAACGTACATTTTTTCAATAATCTATCCAACTCACTGTCCTGAAATTTTTTATCCTTCCTTTGCATTGCAAAACAAACAGCTACATAGAAGCTGTATGGTGACAATCTGTTACACCATGAAATAAAGCAACTCCAGAACGTTGTAGCACCCCAAGACATAAGGGTGTTTGTATTGTCCAGTTTAGTTAGAGATGGTTAATCTCCTCAGATGATGCAAACTTAAGAGGTAGAGACCATGCGTTACCCAAATGCAATTGTGCCCAGGCATTCAATCGATCCAATATAAGATAACAATTTTGGCTTGTAGCAATATTGCTATTAATTAAATGTATTCAATTAGCTATCTACAATCCTACATTATGAAATAGTTAGCTCAAGTAACACTACACAAATACCAAGGGATTAAAAGACATGACGCCACATATAAATAGCAACAACAATTCTTACATGACTTCACCTTGGGGTTCTGCATAGCAAGCCGTGTCCTCTCCCGAATCCGCTGGAGCGTCTCTACACATGCAAGTTAAATTTAATAAGGCATTACCGTTTCCTCAAATCAATATGCAACTCTTATCTAAGTCATTTACTAGATCCATTTAAACCTTCATCGTTGCAGTTATTCCATGTTTTTCTGGAACAGAACATCTACATGAATTTCCTAAAAGGTGGCCGCTGGCATGTTGAGTTCTCACGTTGCTATCACACAGTTTCCACCTACCAGTACCAATCTCTCTCTTTTTCTTCCATTTTAATCAAACATTTCCACAAAAGTTACCACTGAAGGATTAAACTAGGGTGCAATCCTACCTGGGCTGTGCTTCCTGCCCTTGTTCCACGGCGTATTCCCCTTGTTCGCCTGCGATATCCGCATCCGCCTCATCCTCTCCCTCTCGTCCACTCCCTCGCCGTCTTCCTCATTCCCCACACCATCCTCCTCAGTCGGAAACTGGATTTCCACCGCCTTCGCACCGCGGCCCAGGGCCAGCGCAGGGTCCACCTCCGCTAACACCCTGACTGCGCCGGCGCGGCAGCGGGGCGGCCCAAAGCATATCACCCGGCGCTGGACGTGGGATGCGCAGGGCCACGGGGGAACCTGCGGGAGCCGGGGCCAGGAGGAGACCGAGTAGTAGCCCAGGAGCTGCGGCGCCATTAGACGTCTGTGTTCTTCACGGCGGATGGTTGGCCTAGCAGAATGCCGCCCACGTAGCGCGTGGAGACGTGATGCGAGGAGCGCCGCCGCTGCCGGTGGCGGATGGAATGGAGGGCGGCTGAGGAAAGGATTGGCTCAGCCGCGGCTGATGGAAGGATTGGTTCGGCGGCGAGGAGCGAGAGATAGTCGAGCGAATTGGTGACGTCCTATGCGGAGAACGTGGAGTGGAGGGATAAGAGCGGACACGAAATCAAGGGTGTGTTTGGTTGGCTGGCTGCACAAGGGCAACTAACGCCAACTCCACCGCATGACCTCAAACGAACGATTTTTTCCTTTTGATGCAGCAATGGTTTCACCCATGTCCACGTCTGTTCGATGGATCGTGGGTGCGCCCAGGACGCGGCCGCACCCCAAATCTTGTCCGTGTTGGACGTGTTTAAAAAAACATAAAAACTTAAATAAAATGACTTAAAAAGTAAATAAACGCAGTTTAAAAAACTTAAAACTTAAGTTAGGGTCGCCACAAAATGGCCCAGTTTCACGTCCAACTTGACATAACTAAACATAATAAAAAATGGCGCCGCCGGCGCGCTCCTGCTCGTGCCCGTCGATGCCGTCGCCGTCGCCGTCTTCAGTGGCCGCCGGCGGCGTCGTCGTCGCTGACGAGGTCGACGTAGGCCGGTGGCGTCCAGAGGTGGGCCGGCGGTGCGTGGTAGACGCGGGCGGGCTGGACGGCAGGAGGTGCCTGCACCACCTCCTCCCGTGGCGACGCCTCCCGCTCCGGTGACCGCGGCGGAGTGGCGCACCAGTTCACGCCCACGACGGCGGCCATCTCCGGAGCAGTGCAGGACCAGCCCCACCCCTGGCCAACCAGGCCGGGTGGAACGCGGCCACCGGCTCCTCCTCCATCGTCTCCTCCGCGGCCACCATCTCCAGCTCGGGGGTGGCTACCTCGCTGGCGGCGGAGCGGGCCATCATCTCCTCCAGGCCCTCCCATTGGCGCTCATCGTGCGTGTACATGGAGTCTTCCATGACACGCGCCATGAGACGGGCCTCCTCCTCCTCTGTCATGCGAGGAGGTGGTGGTGGAGACGGCGAAGGCGACGGCGATGGCGTGGGCATGAGGCCGCACACCCGCCTACGCCCGCGCTCCTGGGGAGCAGGCGCTGCGCGCTCCCGACGTGGCCGCCGCGGCCCAGACGCCGTGCCGGTGAAGAAGGAGGCACGTCGCACGCCGTGCTCGTCCCTGAGCCAGGTGTCCCAGAGGGCGAAGTCCGGGGCATACCTGTCGTTGTAGTATAGATCGTCGGGGAGGAGGCGGCGACGGCGCTCGATCTCTTCACGGCGCGCATGGCCGCTCGCCGGGACCGGCGGGATTGGCACACGGTCGGTGGACAAGTGCCAGTTGTTGGGGAGGTGGACGTTGCTCTAGGGGAGCGGTGTCCTCATCTCCTAATAACGGCGGCACACCGACGCGCGGATGTAATGCCGGTCGCGCTCGCCGGCGGACATGGGGCGATGGAGAACGCGGGCGGCGTGGGGGCCCGGCGTGGTGGAGATGCGGGCTCCTCCTTCTTCTTCACGGAGCCAGCGCGGTGCCCCGACGAGGAGTCGGCCTCGCGGTCGTGCTTCCCCTTGTGGTTCCAGAAGCCCATGGCTTCGAGGTGGCCGGCCGGCGAGCTCGAGGACGGGGGAGGGCTAGGGTTTCGCGCTGTCGGGTTTCGAGGAGGCCGCGGGATGGAGTGGGGCAGTGTGGACGACGACCGGTCCACGGGTTCCCCGTTTAAGAAGGACGGCGACCTTCCACTGGGCCGATGACAGGTGGGGCCTGCCGCCCGTGCGCATTGATGTTGGCGGGTGGGAGATAGGTGGCCGCACCGCCACGCGGCCAGACGCGGATGAGCGGCGCGTTCGTTCGTTTTCCGCGGCGACCCAATCCCGGCGCAAGTTTGCGCTCGAAATGGGTCCACCCGGACACAAAATGGACCAGATGGGTCCGGGCCGTCGTGCGCTGGGCCGCCTCGTTTGTCCGTTTTACCCCAAACGGACGGGGCCGGACAGAATGGGGTCGCACGGTGGAGTTGGCCTAAGTCTAGTAGGAATTGGGGAGCGCGTGAGCCTGCCGTGCGTCACTCCGGCGCCGACGTCCACCTTCCCGCCGTGCGCCACTTTGGCCTCGGCGGCCACCCCAGGTCCGGTCCATCTCGGGTTGTCGGCCTTTTCCCTTCCCCGCTTCTCCCCGTCCCTCGTTCGCTCCATGGCGAAGAGCCCGCAATCGGTCACCTCATCCGTCCAAGGAGAGAAGCCAGTGGTTTTAGGTCTGGGGATCTCGTCGGCCTCCGAGGAGTCGGAGGTGGCGGTGGTGCTGGCTGCTCCGGCCGCAGCAGGTGCTGGGGTGGGCTCGTCGCGGCGGATCTCGCAGTGGCAGGAGGCCCCTGCTTCCAAGAAGACCATGTGGCAGCGGCGCCTTGAGGAGGGACGGCGGGCTCCCGTCCAGCGCCGCTCGTCGCCGCCCCGCAAGGAGGTCTCGTCGGATATGCGTGACAAGTGCTTCCGGTGCCTGGCGAAAGGGCACTTCTTGAAGGATTGTACTAATGACGTCGTCTGCCTCCGGTGTGGTCTATCGAGCCATGTCGCGTCACAGTGTAAGCGGCCGCGCAGTCCTTCCCTGGTCAAGGAGCTCAGGCGTGAGGCTGCGGCCAAGGTCGCGCGCCGGTCAGGGATGGAGGGCGTGTCGTCGGGCCCCCGCGCGGCAGGTGGGAAGGTGCAGCTGAGGCGTCTTCCTCCACCTCTGCCCCCTCCTTCGTCGCGCCCTGCTCAAGAGGTTCCGGCATGGACCCGTCTTGCTCCGCCGCGCCTGGAGCTGGATTCAGACTCGGAGATCGGGTCGGGTGAGCTTTGCATGGTCAGGAGGACCCGGTGCGATGGATGAGTTGGAGGGGAGGCTCTAGCAGGCCATGGTGGTGTACGTGGGAGGCGACAGGGAGGCGGTCTCGCCGGCGTTGGTGCTGGAGGCGCTGGATTCCAGGATGGGCATCCCGCCGGACAGGGTTTCGATGCATTGGTTCAGGCCGGAGGATTTTCTCATGGTCTTCGCGAGGAGGGAGGATCGGAGTAGGATGGGGCTCTGCTCGGTGCTGGAGTTCAGGGGGCATTGGCTGTCATTCAGGCAGTGGATCAGGCAGACGCAAGTCGTGTTTGCCGCCATGAAATTTAAGGTGGGATTAGAGTTGGAAGGCATTCCACCGCTTGCCTAGGAGCTTGATGTGATGGACAGCTTGCTGGGCGGATCTTGCATCATCGAGGCAGTGGCACCAGAGACCTCGTCGCGGGCGGACATGTCGTCGTTCAAACTTACGGCATGGACGACGGAGCCAGAGCAGATCCTGACTCGCCGGTGGCTTGCGGTGCCGGAACCGTCTGAGCAGCGGGAGCTATTCGAGACGAAGACGCTACAGCACAAAGTTCTCATTCATATGGACTCGATGATAACATTTTCGGAAGGGGAGGAGCCATGGTTTCTGGGGGCCTCGTCGGACAGTGGGTAGAGTGGGTTGTCGGGTTCAAAGCCGGACATGGGCGACGAACCGAGTACTCGCAGGCTGGTCTGGCAGTTTGGAGTTCGCGCCAGAGAGGAGCCGCCGCGGGCGGCGGAGGTGGCGCGCCAGAGGGCAGGCAGCATGTTGGTGGGTTGGCTGGAGTTGGTGCGGATGGGGACTGGCGGATTCCCCCGATGGACCCACTACTTCGGGTGGGAAGCCACGGGCCCAGAGTGCCAGTTCAGGATAGGTTGACGACCCGTCTCTTTGCTTTTGACCGGTTGGGCGGGGTGGAGCGGCAGGTGGGGGAGGCGGAGCGGCTGGAGGCTCAAATTTCAAATGCGCTACGCACCTCTAGCAATGCGGTGGTGGCCGCTGAGCAGAGGGAGGCTGAGGTAGTCGCATCAGAGCATGCGCAAGATAAGGCTGAGGGTGGGGCCATTGGCCCAGATAAGGATTCGTGTCAGGTGGTGGTGGGGGCCGTGGATGTCAATCCCATGGTCGAGCGTAGGGACCCGGAGGAAGAGCAGGTATTGGCTGGAAGATTGGGGGATCGGTGGTTGGTGGTGGGGTCAGCGATCGGCGTGTCTGTGGGCGGGCGCGATGTGCTTGGGATTGGATGGTAGGGCCCAGCGGTTGGGCAGGTGTGGCCCGACCGATCTCTGGATGGACGTGGTCTAGTCGTGGCGGGCCAGGTGGCGGGCCCATATGATTAGGAGAGGCTAGAGCGGCTGCTGGTTGGTGCGCGGATTGAGCAGGCTGGCCCCCACTCGGAAGGCGCATCGCACGATGGGGTGGCCCTGTCTCAAGATGCTCGGCAGCTCGCCCCGCCAATGATCGTGGATTGCACTTTGGCATGCATGAAGGGGGAGTTGGATTTGGGACAAGTGGCGACCTCTCAGGGGGCTATGGAGACACCGGCTGATCGGCATGTTGGATTGGGCATGCAAAACCAGATTCGAACATGCACGAGTGGGATGACACCTCAGGTGGTTGTGGCATACGGGAAGCTCAAGTGGTTCTGCAATGAGCTTGTGCTCAAGTTGGCTCCCCTGCTTCTCATGGAGGTGCAGTTGTCGCTTAGGCCGGAGGCCGAGCCTTTCACCCCGCGTCGCACGACTAGGGGATCTAAGAGGGCTCCGACGAGTAAAGCATGCAAGGCGACACAGGCAGAAAGTGTGCTCATGCGGGGGCTTGGGATTGTTCCAGAGGATTTGGATGGCAACGAGGAAAACATTGCCGAGTTGGCTGAGATATTTGACTCGCCATTGAGGGAGCAGCACATTAGGGTCATCGCTGCCTTGTTTGGTAAGGAGGTGCCGCCGGCGAGGGACTTGGCTGTCGGATCATCGACTGTGTTGGGAGCGGCATGAGTGTCGTGCGGGTTGAGGCGTTGGGTGTCTAATGGGTATCTATGGATTGGAACCCAAAGGTACTTTGTTGGAACGTGAGGGGTTGAAT